TGAGGCCCGGGGCTTCGCTGTGCTTCCCGTAGCGCACGCGACACTTGCATCTAAATGAATGTTTTTATTTAATTGACACGTTTCTCGGACAGTATCTTTTAGAACACGCAATATTTTATACAAAAATCACGCAAAGCGATTTAGCGTTATTATAGCGCACCGCCAGCAAAAATTAGTCACGTATATCAGTCACATTACGCACAGCTTTATTAATTTAACAATGTCACGCACATTTATAGGTACCTTATACACCACCTTTTATAGCTACATCCCAAATACCACATACATCTAGATAAAGTATTTATTAATTCTGTGTTAAAAGTTGTTACCTTTAATTTTGAAGGTAAACAATAAACATTGTAAAACAAGATACTAACTGTTATGCTGCACAGTGTTCTGCGGAGAATGTTGTATGAACATAGAGGGCGGAGCGTCGGGTTGTGTTCCCCTTATAAAAATGGGATTGGGGGCGAGCAGGCCTCCCGCTGGCAAGGTACCGGCTTGCAATCCCCCAGTCCACACTTGCGGGAGTGCGCCGGAAATCTGCCACGGTGCGAACTGCATTGTCTGCCCACCGGTCTGCGGAATCACCGAACACTGAAGTTAAATCATAAGAAGCTAAACTCAGCCGCTCGGGAGGACGTCACACGGTGCTGAACATACGCGATTGCTCGACGCCTTCTACTTTCGAGGCCTGACAAGGTTTCATTGTCAATTATATCTATGACTAATGCGTTAAAAGTGGTTTAATCAAATTATAAAACAGTGTAGAGAACACTTACACTTCATATAAACCTACCATAAAATATGTTACTAGTATAATCACACCTAAAAGATCTTCAGTGCAATGTGTATTAAACTAATAAAATTAAAACGCGTGTACAATCACTATCTATTAATGATATTTTTATTACATAGCGGAATTAAAACTCTTCATTTTATACATAATATTTAAGACTAGTAATTACAACATTAAAATATTGCTTTAAACCTCAGATGAAGTAAAGCAAGGTAGTTAAAGCGCGGGTAAGGAAATTGAAGACCCTAGAAATATATGAAGTGAACATAATTACTGTTTTTTTTTTAATATCACGGGTTGTTATGTAACATTAAATTGGAGTTTTTGTTTCAATTCTTGAAACAAAGCGAAGACGGCAAACGGTTGATGTAGTAAATTTGTTGGCTTCACGATAATGGAAAAACCAAGGTTTGTATGGGATTACGTCTTGAGCCCGAGCGTAGTGTTCACATTTTATGTTTTTAGTTTGGTCCCAGAGACCTAGCCAAAATGCCATAAGTCAGATCCTACTAGTGGAAGCAAGTCATGGGGGAAAACTCGGTACCGAGAGACACACTCATTACCATGTATCCCGCGGAAAGGCTAAAACAACTTTGACCTTTTTTATGACAGTTGTATAAAAAAAATAAAAACTTTTTTAAAAAGAGGGGATTTGATTTAGAGTAGAAGGAGCTGGAGATAATAGTTTGGAGACGGCTAATAGAGTCAGAGAGAATTAAGGTATTTTCCAGGTTGTGAGATTCGGCATATAGGTTTGCTTCTAAAATGGCAATACATTCTCCTGTGAAAACTGATGATTCAGGTGGGCACATCAAAATTAAAATTATTCTGTATTTAGGGATGCAAACTTCAGAACGTACAAAATCTTTGTTAGAAGTCTTTGAAGCGCCTGTGTACATAATGATCCAGTCTTGCAAATTTTCTAAGATGATTTTCTTTAATTGACTGTTAGGATCAATTGCTTTCTTGTTAAGTCCAAGGTCAGGGATGACATTTGGATTAAAAACTAGCGCTACGTAGGAAATGGAGAACAGTAAGTTGATGCTATTTTGGACGATTGGAGATTGAATATTTACAAACTTTATATAGCTTTTTATAACTTAATATATTTTAATTACAAAAGACAAGTATAGGTATTCTTGGATAGTGACGTAAATTTCAAGTAAGTTTTGTAATAAAGTAAGTAGGTATTACTTCTGTAGATAAATTATTACTTAATTCTTTTCTGCTATAAGTACTCAAAAATGAAATAAATTCACCTATCATAACTTCTTACTAAAATCGTTCAGAAACTTAAAGAATGATATATCTGAAACCTTTTGTTGGTCATTTAGCGTCTATTCACGCAACAGTTATAGCAGGAATGACTTTTTGCCATTACAATTGATCAAATAGGTAATATACATAATAAATATAATGTTTAAATTACATTAAAACTTTTTCAACTATTTTATCCCACCATTAACAGCGTTAAAAAAGGTCTGTTAAGCTGGAATAGTCATTTGGGCAAAATCACTTCAATTTTTGCTAAATATTTAGTGCTCATTTAGTGCTAATTTAGTGCTGCAAATTTAAATTTCACGCCAAAATAGCTTTATCAAAAATTAGAAAACTGCTAGCTTTTAATTAAGCTAGCAGTGTTCTACCTATTAAATCGATAAGCACTTAATACAGCAACAAATAGAAGCATCAATAATTTAGTGCTTATTTAGTGCTGCCGATATACACAAAAACAAATATTGGGAAAATATATATTTTTTTAATATCATAAATTCTGCTACTTTGACATCTTTAGCAGAGTATGTGATGATACCTTGACATCCAAGTGGATTCTCACCTAATGATATAAGATAATAATATAGTGTTCATTTAGTGCTGTCCATGTACGCAAAAACAAATATTGGGAAAATATATATTTTTTATATTCATAAACTCTGCTACTTTGACATCTTTAGCAGAGTATGTGATGAAACATTGGCATCCAAGTGGATTCTCACCTAATGATATAAGATAATAATTTAGTGTTCATTTAGTGCTGTCCATGTACGCAAAAACAAATATTGGGAAAATATATATTTTTTATATTCATAAACTCTGCTACTTTGACATCTTTAGCAGAGTATGTAATGAAAAAATTGACATCAGAGTGGGCTATTATCTAATGATATAAGATATAAATTAGTGCTCATTTAGTGCTGTCGATATACTAAAAAAGGATTTGGGAAATTATTTTTTTTTTAAATACCGTATATAAATTTTAAAGACAACTGATAAACATACTTATATATTTCTAAATACATAAATATTATAGATAAATTACACCCAGACACAGAACAAATGATCGTGCTCATCACACAAACATTTGTTCTGGGTGGTAATCGAACCCACGACCTCCGGCATAGCAGTCAGGGTCACTAACCACTAGACCAACAGGCCTTCGAAAGTTATATTAGTGACATCATTATCGTGTCGTTATCGTACATATTATCGTTAATATTTGTTTTTGCGTACATCGACAGCACTAAATGAGCACTAAATTATTATCTTATATCATTAGGTGATAACTCACTTGGATGTCAATGTTTCATCACATACTCTGCTAAAGATGTCAAGGTAGCAGTTTACGGTATTTAAAAATAATAATTTCCCAAATCCTTTTTCGTATACCATCAGCACTAAATGAGCACTAATTTATTATCTTATATCATTAGGTGATAGCCCACTCTGATGTCAATTTTTTCATTACATACTCTGCTAATGATGTCAAAGTAGCAGAGTTTATGAAAATAAAAAAATATATTTTCCCAAGTTTGTATTTGAGTACAACGACAGCACTAAATGAGCACTAAATTATTATCTTATATCATTAGGTGAGAATCCACTTGGATGTCAATGTTTCATCACATACTCTGCTAAAGATGTCAAAGTAGCAGAATTTATGATATAAAAAAAATATATTTTTCCAATTTTTGTGTTTGCGTATATCGGCAGCACTAAATAAGCACTAAATTATTGATGCTTCTATTTGTTGCTGTATTAAGTGCTTATCGATTTAATAGGTAGAACACTGCTAGCTTAATTAAAAGCTAGCAGTTTTCTAATTTTTGATCAAGCTATTTTGGCGTGAAATTTAAATTTGCAGCACTAAATTAGCACTAAATGAGCACTAAATATTTAGCAAAAAATGAAGTGATTTTGCCCAAATAACCATTCCAGCTTAACAGACCTGTTAAAAAACTTTGAACATTCAATCGCCTACAACGCGCTAGCGCCCGACTGCGTAATGCGTATGTTATAATTATACCACTTACCATGTGGGCGCGTCGCGATTGTAGATAATTATTTGACGCAGGTAGCAAGAGTGACAGAGGGCTGACTATGACTATACATTATTAGTACTTTGGTTACAACTCGCTTACGCGGCTGGGATTGCAGTTTGTATTTTGATCTGTATGTTTTTGTGTTAATGAAAATGATTACGTTGATTTACACAGACTTCTTTATATGATTGCACTTCCGTATCCTTACACTTTCATATCATTACCTTTAAATATTTATAATTCATTAGAGTTTCAATATCAAGTTATTTATGTAGTATATGAAAATAACTCCTTTGTATCGACTTTAAAACTCATGGTACGTTTACAATTAATTAATTTAAATTTTATTGTACTGATGTTGTGAGCCTCATTTCCTGACTATAAATTATATCTAAATACTATAAGAGAAAGTCTCTTATAGTATTTAGATGAATATATGAAGTTATAAAAGATGTGAGTCAAGGTTAGGAATAATGACGGTGGCAACGCTTCTGTATTTTGATTCTTAATCGAGGGTAGATGTAGGTCTATGGGCCACAGCATTCACTTACTACCAGGTGGGATGTGTGCTGGCTTGTCACCCTAATTCTTTAAGAAATAGCTACGCAAAATTTTTTTTGTGTTAGAAGTGCGCGCGCTAACACAAGGAACTAAACTCGTCCTTATCTACTATTTCTTGTCTTGCTTGACCTAACAATGATTTTACAATAAAATCGGAAGTGGATTAGGATGCAGTGTAGGAGATATATATTTTATACGTGGTAGAGCCATGCTACAGTTATATTAGTAGTATAGTTGTAGCACGAGTGGGTCGGCTCGACCAGGGAAGGACCACGCTCTAACAGAATACCAGCGTGTATAGTAGCTTAATGCTGCTGTATTTCGTATGGTGAGTGTAGAAAACTGCAGACCTTTTTTACTGGAAACGAGGCATTCTATCTGAGTCCTCACGGGTGACAACGCATCTGCATTTTGTTTCGTAATCGAGGATAGATGTAGATGTCTATGGACCGCAGCAACCACTTACCATCAGGTGGACTGTGTGCTCGTTTGTCACCCTATCTTATAAAAAAAATACCACCACATGTAAGGTATGATATGCCTTTGTTAAACTATAAAAAGGATAATGCAAGATAAACACTCGCTAGGCATAAATGCTAATGCAGCAGCAAAGCTACGTTATACAATTTCGAAATTCGCCAAATGCATATTGTAACAATTTCAAACAAATAATAACGACATGTTTCATGATGACAAATTTCAAATTGATAAACTAAATATCATACGAGAATGTTGGAGTGAACATGGTACATATAAGTCAAGAAGAAAAATGTTTTGCCATATGCCATGCATTGCCATAATGAAAGGAGCCAATATAGTTGAGTACTTATAGATTTTACCTACCTCTTATTCAAATCTTTATTCAGTATGTGTATATTAAAATCGATTAGCAACTGTATATCGATCAAAGAATCTCAAGACGACTTAACTTTTTTAAGCGTTGGTTTAAAAATACTATTTATTTATAGCATGTTATGTTTTCTTACAATTCGGCTATCAAAACGACGTTTCAAGAAGTATTACGGGTAGGTGTACTGTCAAAAATCAGATTTCGATTGCAGACCCTGAATATGTTGCAAATATATTTCAACTACTTGGAATTAAGTTAACTCTTTGACTTTGCTTGACTAGCCAAAGCGTTAAATTTACTATAACCTTCATAAACAATAATGAGTTATATAATAATCAATGTTAATTTAAAGACTAGTTTTTCTTTTAAATTCATAGTTGTTCAGCCAGATTTGGCAATATGATTTACAGACCAGGTCATATCTGGAGTATAGTTAATACAATATTAAAGACATGGTATGTCTGTATTTAGTGCTGTAAAAATATCAGAAAATCGCTGTGTTAATTGCGTATTTGAGTTCAGCGTGTTAAATCTGAAAATGTGCAGTGTATGTTACAAATATTACCTGTAATGGGCTGATGATCTGTGCTTGAGTAGGCTGCTGTGCACCGAGAACAGGCTGAGAGACTTGCACGCACTGAGCTTGCACGGGAATGGTTTGCCCTCCACCAGCGCCTCCACCGCCGACTTTACTCCCCGACATCTTGCCACCGCTCATCACCTACGAGAATCGATACAGCCTACAGTGTGCTCATGCCGACTACATTAAATTCTTATATCATTATTGTAATTACCAAACATAAATAGTATTATAAAATTCGAAACAGACAACATTAAATAAAATAATGTAGTTATGGCTGTTGCCCAATTATTTATAAGCTTAAACAGAATTTATACAGTTATGTTGCGCCTGTGTCCGTGTAGATTTAATATTTAAAACAAAACCCTGTCCAATACGTACGGGATCGTAAGCAGCAAATAATTAAAACATCATTGTTGTTGAAATTACATGTTTTCACTTCAATTAACTAAAAATCAGGAAATACGGTTGCGTTTGGCAGAAAAAAGCGCTAGCGAGCGCTTGTAAGCAAAATGGCGAAACTAAACAGTTTTCGGCCAGGACACGTTTGCTATCTTCAGTAGCGCTGACACAATCCGCCATTTTGCTTATTTAATTTGTTTGTTTTGAAGTAGAGTTTATAAGTTGTTTTGTGCAATATTAGTTTTAAGTTCATGAATAGACATATATATATATACATGCTATTAAAAATTCGTGATTGATAAGTTTTTAGTATGAATACTTTACATATATTTAAATTAGGTTAGGTTCCCCAGTTAAAACTAACTTCGTGTCCTAGAGGAAAATAGCTACTTACGATTTGACAGCGCTTATCGCTTACGGTCGCCATTTTGCTTACAAGCGCTTGCTAGCGCTTTTTTCCGCCAAACGCACCCAATGTGTCCATCTTTCATCGGTGTCGGAGACTTGTGGGGGGGGGGGGGTTGAAATACGGTAAATTTTATCGACAAATCACTATCCCTATATTTTGTTCTCTCTCCATGATGAAATGGCGGCCATTTTTTTGTTTTTTTGTCACGAGGCACGGGTGCTTGTACTGATTAAGCCATAGCTACCCATGTAGAGGTCCAGGAAAAAGATTGAAGACTCGTTTAATAGCTAATAATGTATACAACGAAAGCGAAAGAACGCGAGTAACCCGGGTTCGATCCCCGCCGGCACCAATGAACTTGTTCATTGCAATTGTAAGTGCTGATTTACCGCGTGCTCGGCGGTGAAGGAAAACATCGTGAGGAAACCTGCAGGTATGAGGCATAAGGAAAAAAATATTTCGAAGACATGTGAAGTTCGCGAACACGCATTGGATCAGCGCGGCGGACACTTCCTTGCCCTAAAACCCTCTCAGAAATGAGGGGAAGCCTGTGCCCAGCAGTGGGACGTATATAGGCTGTAAATTTACTTTTTAACTTTACTAATGTATACAATAAATCACCGATAACAAATTTGCCGTTTCTTTTTTATAAAAGAGCAAAAGAGAATTTATAAAACAAACAAAAGTTTTTTTTACGTTTTAAATTATTAATTAGCTTTTTCATAAAATCTAAACCATCAAGCTACATGTTTTTTGTTTTTGAACGTTAGTAAAGAATGTGTGCTTAAAAATAAGTCAAAAATAAGTTTTACATCTTAGTCCTAAGTAAGATAGTTTAGAAGTTACAAGTTATGACAGTTTGAATTTGAATATGACCCTTGAAAGCTTAAATATCCCGCTGATAAAGAACAAGACTCACGGTTTCGAAGAATTACAAGGGTGTATATTTAGACAATGCTGTGCTTTGTAAGAGAGAATGCGCCCTCCTTTCTGCCAAGGAGGGTCGCGTTCGTATACGGCTTAGAGATCTCTAGACAGATCGTTAAGCCAATTCCTAAAAGGTTGAGTTTAGTGGGTAAAAGTCACCACATAACCACGCAGCCGGCTGCGTGGTATGCTATGAGCATTCTCAACCTCCCTCCCCCGCTTTCCGGAGGGTTGCCCATATTTGCTTCGGGCGCAAAAAAAAAACTTTGTAAGAGCATGTAAGGAAAGGAAGTGTTATTAGGTAAGAGCGAGGCAGAATACCGCTTGTGCTCACTGCTCATATTAGGGCGCACTGACAGGTAGTCGATCGTCCCTCGCCCCGCGTTGTGATTAGTGATTACACTCTCTTGTGCCAACAAACTGTTCGTTGTTATTATTGAACATTTTTGTTTCTCAGAACGTGGTTTACGTCCATTTCGTCTATGGTTTGTGAAACGGAAACGCTAATGCTGCTGTAAGAGAGTATGCGAGAAGATTTCCCGCTAAGCCGACGCCAAATGCTAGCACATTCAATGTTCAATAATAACAACGCACAATTTGTTGGCGAAATGGATGTTAGCGACGTCCTGCGTTGAATAATTGACGTCTTCCATTTTAGTTAAGTTTTATCGACTAAAAAACGATAACTGAGTCCACAACAAAGCAAAAAGTCCAATAAAGAATGTAACAAAAGTTATCATTGATTTATTGTCTACATTATTAGCTATTAAGCGAGTCCTCTTTAGTTTTCTTAAAACTTCTACATGGGTAGCTATTGCTTAATGAGTACAAGCACCCGTGCCTATTGGCAAAAAAAGAAAACAAAATGGCTGCCACTTCATCATGGAGATATAAAAAAATATAGGGATAGTGATTTGTCGATAATATTTACCGTATTTCAACCGCCCAAAGTCTTCGACACCGATGAATGGACGCATTGTATAATATATTATCCGATAACACATTCGTCAGGGGCGGTATTTTTGGACGTGTGGTAGACCTTATGATAGTGCACCATCAACACAATGTAAGCTGAGCTCCGATGTAAGGTCCTACAGTTTGATATAATAATAGAAGTATTTTTAAATCCACAGATTTTGTCACTTGGGATAAAATTTCTATTTCTTATTTATTTCAATTCTTATACGAAACGTTAACACTAGGATTTTTTCAAACACACACACGAACGCACGCACTCACACACACAATTCATATCCGGGTTCGGAACAATTTTTATACGCCATATTGTGTAGTACTTGTTCCGTTCGAAAAATGCTACTGCGCTATCAACCATGTTAATATTGCCTACATATAATCAACGTCACGATAAGCTCACAAATCTTCGCCATATTGTGTAATGGCTTATAGGGAAACAATTGTAAAAAAGGCCAAAATTGCGAAGTGTTGACATTTTTTATACAAATTATTAGTGCAATAGTCATCATCATTGAATTCCATCACATGACCACCGCTGACACAGGTTTACACCAAAGCATGATCCTGAATCTGAGTGACATTTCCTTCATGCTTCATCAGATAATAATAAATAATAATAAATTTTATTGCCTCTAAAACACACAGTTACATTCACGTTAAAACAAAAGAACATTATAATTATTTGAGACAAAAGGAGACGGCTCAGCTTTGTCTGTAACGAGATACAGATCTCATACAGAGCTGTTTTTCAGCCGCTCCCTCCTCCCTGAGGTGTTGTGCGGGAGTCCAAAGTAGCTCAACAACACCTATTGGCATCGATTGGGATGGGACCTATTGGGAGCAGCAATACCTATTGGGTGGTCTCCCTAAAACTTGACAACATATCGTTTAACAATATTAATTCCTAATTGTATGGTTGATCTAGGGCTGTCTTCCGTCCGGGTTTCCCCGGATTTGTCCTAGTTTAGAAGACGTCAGGGGAGCGTCCGGGCGGGGTTTAAATTTTAGTCTAGGTGCAACCCGAACTACAATAAATGTCCGGGTTTTCGATCAGATCCCGTTCCCATAATTTATATAAATAAAAGCTAAGTATTTCACCGCACGCGCTGCCGACACTATTTTACTTCGCGAGCGGCGAGCGGGGGTGGGGCGCGCTTGACCGACGCATGGCGTGATAGCGTTTAATTTTATTAACTGAATAACTAATATTGGGTTTGTTTATCTTTTATTTAATACCTAAGAGGGTTAAAAAATAAAGCATAATTACTCACTTGTCGTCACAAGAACGATTAAACACACTATTTCATGCAACAAAAGAGGCTTAAAATTAAAGTTTTCTTCTATCAAATACGGATTAAAATATATTTTAATCAAGATGTAAGAGAATGAAAAAGTATTGAAATGTCCGGGGTGAAAGCTCCAAAATCCGGGGAACTTACGCTTCCGGTCCTGGGGGGCAGGTTTTAGAGATAGCAGCCCTAGGTTGATCTAGCTTAGCTTTATTGTCGTGAAATAATAGTATATATTTACCTTGTGCATCTCAGTCTGCTTCTGTTGCTGGCCTATCCCAGATACAGTGGGCTGGGAATGGGCAGGTATTATACTCGGCTGGGAGTTTATGACGCCCAGTGGACTGAACACGAATGTCTGGTTCTGCGTGGTCGGGATGGCCGGGATAGTGGTGTACCCCGGGAACGGCGCTGTATATTAATATATTTATTTAAATGGAAGCCATTTTATAACGCTTCACCAATCAAATTATGACCCACTATGTTTTTATTTCCTTAAAATCATTAAAGTTTCTGATCATATTATCTGTGTGGGAATATTATTCTAATATAAAAACACACTGTCTGATACATTTTACACATAAATAGTACTTTTTAGCAACGGTTGAGTTTGAACTTTTGAATTCTCGGGCTTTAACAAGTAATATCGAAAAATCATTTTCTAAGTTATACGATCGACTAAAGAACCCAAATGCATAATGTTCATTTTAAAACAGTTAAACGTACATTTATAAAACAGCTGGTATTCTTTATTATATTACTATATATAATATTTAAACATATAAATATTAACATGAAAAACTTTTATTTATTTAACGTTTGTTACAGATTCAATATTTTTATTATAGTAATAATTTTAATAATATGTAATAAGGAAATAAAATCATAGTGGTTCTTATTACTTTATTTTGCAATTGATTAATTTCCGAACATAAACACTGATCAAAATTTCATACCATATTTTATAGTACATGCTTAATTCTACTACCATACAAAAGCTGCTGTTACGAGCTAACATAAAGTTAATAAAGATGATTGCAATAAATTATAACTTAAAAAAATAAGATCATATTTAAACAAATAAAGCATAATATAACAAAGAATAGAAAATTATTAGGTAATGCAGTCCCATAATACCGACAAATACTGATCTAGTCGGTACGAGGTTGCTTCACTTTCTTCCTCATCACTTGTCGGTTCATCGAGGGCTACAATAGGTATAGTAAGGCTGGGCTATGTCCCTTAATAAAGTTCTATTGCGTATATCTTGGTTGATAATACGCAGATAACTGTAGATTATAGCCCTCTGAACATAGCCGCTGATCTTCTTCATGTGGCCAGCCAGTATTAAAACCATAAGTCGGTTCCATAAATCATCTCTGCTTAACATCATACAATGGTTTTTCACTGGTGTTTTTTTTTTGGTTAAGTAAGATATGAGACAAGAAAATTAGTTGTAATTTGCCTTGAAGCCGCTAAGATATACTCCCTAAAATGGCTAGGTTCCTGCGAGTCACTGTTATCATAAAGTGCAGCAAAGAAATATTTCGAGTATATGTTTTCGTTCTGTCTAATATCTTCCTGAGCTTGCATAAGCTTCGTACTCTCTCAACTTACTCGTAGCCTCATTATACAAAATTTTCAGTATCTCGATATACCGACAGTTAAAGAAAAGGCAAGCCTTCTGTACGATTTATCAATCAATTGCCAACAGTATAGTAATGTAGTCAATGGCTCTAAATATTTTTCTTACAGTTCCAATTTTATTCAAAAAGTATTTCAATTTACATTAGGGTCTACTACTATATTAAATTATTTTTACAGCACTTTAGTACCGTTTTCGACCCGCTATCAGAAGCTTCGCTACAATTTCATCCGGTACTTTGACACTTGAAGGTTCTGCAGAGTCATCTACATCTCGTTAAGGCATTTTATATCACCAGACTAATACTTGCGATTGCCACTCCCATTAGCGTATGGTTTCATCTGTAGAATGTCGCAATCTCACTCAAAATTTTGATAATTGGCTCAATCCGGTCGCTGGATCTCTGGTGATTGGCTTGGATGGCTTTAGAGCCTCGGCTCCGCTTAATCGCCTTTGCAGTATGAGTTGTATCGCAGTTGCGTGAGATTCTTCGTTACATTTGCAGATCCATTTGTTCGTACTACTGTATATTGTTAAACTATATGAGTTAGAGTACAACTTTATTTCCGGTCTAGCAGCTATGAAATTAAAATTATTGATCCCATTAATATGTTTTTATTGATGGGATCAATATATGGGGGCAGTTGGATTCTCATGCAACGGGTCTTACAAAACTTAATTCAGACGGTGTGGTCTAGTAATCAAATATGGCATTCTTGGTGGATGGGACACACCGTTTCGTCCCAGAATGTACCGCCGCAGAATTTTAGTACTCCCTTATTAAAAATTACAGTATCGTTTGCTGTTGTGGCCGTGGTAGGAAAAGGGGACATCTCCCGCCGGGCAAGGTGTTCTGCCCGGGGAGCGGCCAACACTCCGTGTGATAGTTCGGAGATGTTCTATATATACTGTTTATGATTCGGAATGTTGATAGCGTGATTTAGGCTTCGGTGTATTAAGCTTGTGGCGCGACGACAGCGCCGCCACACTGTTTACTGCTTTCGTTTTCAGGAATGTCAGGGCTGCCGGGGACTGATTTGCCACGCTCAATGGGCGGGCCGATAACCGCACTAATTTGAGATGTTCCAGGGAACTACTTTAGCCCTCATTCAAGTAAAAATAAATTATCCAAAACCAAAGATTATTACAGAAAATAAATAATTAATTTTAGAATAAAAAAATCACGCTTTTGTGATATAAATTGCGTAATTTGCGTGAAAGCCGTAAAGAAGCATCAATTGCATCGAACAGATGATAAAACATTGTGGGGTGACAAAAGCGCGGGGCTGCGTATAGCTTGCTTTATGATTTTACCATGACATCCAACCCACTGAGTAAGAAGCTTACAAATAAATCCCAAAATTTAAGCCAATTAAAGAAATCAAATTACAAAAATAAACGATTGTCCTCCAATAAACCAAGAAGACAAATACATTCACGTATCAACCAACCACAAGACTCGAAACAAATATAATATGAATCCATCGTAATATTTTTATAAACCTTGTTCCTGATAGGCAGTTAGACCTGTAAAATTTACTATAAAACTGAATAGTGCAGAAGTTCTTAGCGATAATTAAATTATTTCCTAACGTGTATTTAATGCATTTATTTAACGATATTATGGTGTCTCTTTATGGACGTTAGCTGTGTTGTTCGATTTACAAAACAAAATATTAACCAACATAGGAATTGCCTAATTGGCCATTGAAGTTCTCTCGTTGATGATTAATTCATTTAAAATAACAAGGCAGGCTAAAAAAGGGTAATTATCGTCCACGTGGAATATTCCAATAACAAAGCATTAGCAGCGAAGTCCTCCCTATTCTGTGGGTCGATATTATTGAAGAATGAGACGACCTATAATAATTGTTTTGATTTGATTTTCCTTTAAAGTAGAACAAAATAAATAAATGACTTTTCAAAGACATCTTAATTAGCATTCAAAAATAAAAGACCCTTAATATATTTATCTTAAAGAGTGACATTTTTTAACGCGACAAAATTAAGAAATGTTTATAATGTCAAATAAATATTATACAGTTGCGTGTTTGAAAAGCGATGTACTACTGAAAAACTCTCAGTGAAAGCTGAAATGTAGTGGAGCTAAATTATAAGCAGATTTGTTTCTAAAAGTGTAACTGTGATGTTAGGTGAGGGTACGACGTATAAAGAAGGATTTACATGTTTTTATCAACAATCAATAAATCTGTTTTTAAATAACGAAAAAATAGTATTTTAACACGAAGCGTAAAATACAACTTATGAAGTTTCAACATACTTTCAATTCAAATCATACATAAGTCCACTCATAAAGGCGATTAAATTTGTAATTATTGAAGCAATAATAAATACTAGTACTCGTTGCCTATGGGACGCATAACGATAGCGAGAAATCATTTTTACAAGTCATAATATAAGAATACTATTGGTACGTGGTAACGATTACCGACTGATATAGTCGATAATCGTATAATGGCGGCTCTACACGTTGACGAACATAGTAGCGAATGCAGTGGCAAAGATATTGGCCAAGAGTTCGTGATGGCGTCCACACGTTGTAAGGTCGTTCAGTTTGTTTCGGTTGAGGCCAATGTGCCGACCAATTTATTAAAATGAATGTTGAGGCCGGTAACAGTTGCTGCGGTTTATTTACTCACGACATACCGATATTACGTGAACGTGTATGACATAATATCTGTTTCACATCGCTTGTCCCATATCGCCGTCGTGCGATAGAGAGAGAGTTGCTAATGTTGAAGGTAATTGTATACCTTTTCTTTTTAAAATGTGTTTTCTAGCGATAATGTTTTCAACCCCCTAAACTTAACGAAATGAGACAATTTTGTTCTCATTAGATTCAGTATACCTTAATTTGGGTACGTTTTTATTTTTTAGTAATTCAGTTTATTTTAATTAAAAAAAAACTCTCGAGGTAGTTTTTAAGTCAAAACTATAGATATTTAGATGCTAATAACTTATATCGTACGCAATATTTCCTTAAAATAAAAACTTAGAGACCTTGTTTTTCATTATATCTACAACATTTCCAAAAATTATGAAAATTAGACTATGTTTACATGACGGAAAACGTTATCGCTTTTTTATAAGAATCAAATGTAGATGCGTTGTCATCCCTGCGGACTAAGATGGAATGCCTCGTTTCCAGTAAAAAGGGTCTCCGATTCCCTACAGTCACCATACCAAACACACCAGCATTATGTCGCTATTTCACGTTTTCTTTGATAGCGGGACACCATGCCGCGTGGCCGAGCCGACCTATTCGTTCTACAACCATAATGAAGTATGGCTCTAAACCTATAATATGATTCGAAGGGTTATGTAAAATGGATTTAATAAGTTATAAAACTTACCTGCTTGACCTTGTAAGACCTGTTTTCCTTGGGTGGTAAGCATGTGCGGCGCGAGCTGATTACCCTGGAATGGCTTCCCGGCCGCTATGACCTATGCGGGGATAATACTCAATTATTTACCTCGTCACAACTTTGGTGATTCGTTAAGCAACTTAATGAAATGCCCAAAAGCTTTGAGGCGTTGGTTCAAAGGAAGACAATTTAGCCTTCTCTTTCTTATTATTATACACCCAGGCGAAGGTGAAGTAGCGTCAAAAGTCATGACGTATGGTACTAATGTTGCCAATCTATGACGACTCCGTGGCGCAGTGGCTTAGCAATAATGGCTGCGCTGGGGGTTGCGGGTTCGAATCCCGCACGGAACAAGTATTTGTATGACCTACAACTAATTGTTCCGGGTCTGGATATTTGTCCTTGTGCAATTTATGTTTGTAAACTGCCACCACGATACAGGAGAAAATCCTAGTGTAGGCGTAACGTTTTTTAAAAAAAGAAAAAAGAAAAAATATGTGCCCGATAGGCGTCGCGATTAAGGTGATTTCTCTCTTAACTATGTCACTCTAAGTCACTCTAATGTCCAGCAGTGAACAGTTTACAGACAGTCGAAGGCAGATAATACATTATTTATACATTATTTTTTTCAAAATATAAATTTATTTCAAACTTTCTCCAGCAAAGTATTACAAGCACTGATTGCATTTCTAACAAAAATTTAAAAAGCGTTACAAGCGTAAATAAAATATGAAATAACCTGAATTTGCTGAGAGTTGATACCGGGGTGCAGGGCTATATTCCCGGGCATGATTAGCGGGCCTTGAGTGTTGTACAGTTGCTGAAGGTAAGTGCTGTTCTGCAGGGGCTGCTGGATCACCTGCACCCGGCTGTGACCCCATTCGGCACTGCAAGCGAACCTCAGCTAACTATCATGGACTAACATTCATTACGCACGCAATCAAATGTTATACCTTTATACGGTTTAATGGTTGTGGAAGAGAATCCATGACCCCATTTCCTTTCGCGAATGTCGCAGGAGGCAAGTGGGAACATAGCTATAGGATAGGCGGTATACTGGGTATGTTCCGAAATACAACGCAGTGTACTGTCCAATGCAAATGACGTCATCATTTGACAGTTTGACACTTTATTGTACTAGCGTGCCGCTGCCATATAGTGTCGGATATCCGGCCATAATAAAACAATTTTTAATTGTGTGTTTGCCGAATAAAACATGCCAGAATTTGTTTCTATTTATTCAAATACAAAAAATTATATAATAATTGATTATATATCCATTAGGAGGATATAATGATTTTTAGAGCACAAAATGACAAAATAATCGCCAACACTTTTCCAAATGGCGCAAAAGTATGACGTCATATACTGTCCAATGTTTTGGAACGAATCACCAGTATAGCGTCGATTCATGACGTCATTTGCATTGGACAGTACACTGCGTTGTATTTCGGAACATACCCACTATTTCGTTTACCCCAGACGTAAAAAGCCACGACCGGACGACACGGACAGCAACGTACATCTTAGGTCAGCGTAAATGCGACATGTCTGCAGCAGTGATTGCACATCCTCTTTGCAACGGGCAGTTACAAAATGATGATACAGCAGTGGACAGTTGCAAGCTGATGAAGAGCGATGTTTATTATTATATAACTATTTAATTATACGTTAAAAGAAAACTTCGTACACCTTTTTAAGCATATTGTGCGCACAGAGAAGAGTGAGATTTGCCATATTTGAAGTTTATAAAGGAGTTCAAAAAACTAAATTTTTTGTATTACAAATACATGGTTTACGTCAATATTGTCAACGTATCAGAGTAAGTACATATTATACATATGGTACTAGTTATTACTCTGAGGCGTGCAGAAACAAATGCCAATAAATTATTAATGAAAAACATTGAGCTACTATGTATTACGTACCAGTGGCGACACTGCATTCAGCTACTCTGTTCCACTCAACTGCGGTGCATACACCGCACTTTAATCAGTCACTCGCTAGACGGTTGTAGTTATCACGTGTTGTGTTGATTTAAAAAAAATCTCTTGATAAAAATATGCCGTCGTGTGTACTTAGATATTGCACAATAATTCAAGAAATGTCAGTAAAAACCAAGGAATCACTTTTCATCAGTTAATAAGATACTTATTGATTAAAAAGTATTATATATTAATAATAAAACAAATTATGTATTCCTAAGACGCCATCTCGTGTAATGGAATATAGATTATGAAATTAATACGTTCAGATGCGACATTTCTATGGGTAGTTAAGTATAGGACGAATATATTATTAGACAATTAAATAAGCAAATAAAATATATAAAATAAATGACAAAATTTAAATACTGTTCTGGATATAATTTACAAACACAACAATACAATCTACTATTACCTACGGATCATTCTACCTATGTTTATTCTATGATAAAAAAACAACCTCGCGAACACAGAGTAGCGCACATTTTTTGTTTGTGATAGCAGTTCTAGTACGTAAGTACATATTACTTCAATGATGAAAAAGTTTATTTTATTTTTTGTATATTAGACATCGGGGTCATGGTTTATATATAAACCGATAAATTGAATGAATTATGGTCGAATTTTGACCAAATTGAATAAATTGATTTTATAAATAAGTAGGAGAGGCAAACAAGAAGTCTAACGTGCTGTGTTATTACGAAATTTTTCAAGTTATCATTACAATTATTGAGTTTTATACCGAATTTTATTCAAAAAGACATCATGGAAGACGAATTCGTAAAAGCAAAAAGTACTAATTTATCAAGGATAAATAAATTGATGGTGGTAAAATTTTTGCATGCAATCCCAATTTTTGTTCTGCTGAGTTGAGGAATGTTAAAACATAAATGTAAGTACCTATTACCAAATTTTGTTTATAGAAAAACACAATAACAGGTCAGAGTGTATTTTGATAAAACATGGTTTAGTAGCTATCATAGTTTAGTTTATCTATTATTACCATCATTTATTTCTTGAAATTTTTGTCTAAGGGACTTATTACAATTTATGTAATAAATCGCCCGTACGGCTTTCTTTTGCAAAACAAATATGGCTTCAATGTCCGTCGATCGTGTCGAACCCCATAGCAACATTCCATAAGACATCTACATTGGTGAGACTTCTTATCTTTCTTACAGCTTATGCTGCAGAACTAAATCTGCCTGTCAGTTTAGATACATGGGGGCCCCATTGAAGTTTTGCGTCAATAGTAATACCAAGAAAAACAATGGTAATCACAAAACTCAACTCTTCCACATTTAGGGGCTCATTGGCATTTTTAATTATTAAAAAAATAATTTAACCTTTCTTTTCCTAGATTCCTATCTAAATACAATTAAATAATTTATTTGAATGCAAATCTAGTTAATTTCAGTTAGAAAAATACGCGTTACAGTTAAGCAAAAAGGGATATCTCTCTCAAGCACTAACCTTATCTGTTGTGGATGTTGTGTATGTTGTGGCAGGCTTTGTAGCGGTGGCATGGTAGAAATTCCTGCTCCGGATTGCTGCTGAATTCCGCTAGCTTGCTGCTGCTGCTGCTGCTGTACCTAAATTAAACTCAGAATCATTAAGATGATAAAATTATCAGGGGTAGGTACTAAGAACTCAAAAACTTTTATACTACCGAAATATGTTTCATAATACGTGTATCGATATTAAGCTTTACCTCTCTCGTTGATTAAAAATACTTTTACGGATTTTATCGCGTTTATTTTACTATTATTTTTAATTCCCGACGTTTCGGGCGCTTTCCAGCACACATGGTCACGGGGGATTGAGATGACTGACGTCCCGATGTCATTGTTAAACCCGGAATACCTTCAGCTTTTTTTTAATTATTGTTAATTAAAAAAAGCTGAAAAAAAAACTGAATGTACTCCGGGTTTAACAATGACATCGGGACGTCAGTCATCTCAGTCCCCCGTGACCATGGGTGCTGGAAAGCCCCCGAAACGTCGGGAATTAGAAATAAAAGTAAAATAAACGCGATATAATCCGTAAAAGTAGTTTTAATCCACGTGTAGTGTTCGCGTAAATATAAGAAATCATTATTTACCTCTCTCTTAATCTATCATTACAAATGAAAGCATACAACAAAGCTTACTTAGATTATTTACCTATTACAAGTTATGCTTGTTTATATTCAAACAACTGTTATTGGTAACAAGTGGTAATCCCCCTTACGGTAACGAGCTGATATGGCAGTGTTACATAATTTTATTGTCATCAACTAACTACAAACATCCGTTAGTCGAATGATTCGGGCATGCGTTTTGTGTTATTTCTTTCCATTTCGTCGTTCATTTTTGCCTGGTTTATATTGAAACAACTTTTATTGGTACCATATGTTATTTGTTGCCTTGAATAAGTAACGAGCTGATATAGCAGTGTTGCACTTCTTTTATTGTCTTCTTTGAACATTAAAAGGAAAATTCATTTCTGTCAGTTGGATGCAAATAGAGAGGGCCAGCAAGTTATATTATCTGTGCGAAGATGGTAATGGTGGCTTACAGATATTCCCTTGGGCAGCCTTGGCAAGGGATCAGAACGCACGAGTTCTCGAAGTAAGGCGAACTAGTTTCTCGCCTATTCTTCCAATGTGCTCCAACTTTTCCCTAGCGATAACTCTTCTGAAGTACATGGAAACAGAGTTTTACTTCTTCTTGAGTGCGCTAGTGTTTGCATCCCAGGACACCAATGCGTTAGCTCAAGCTTTGTGACACTCCTGCTTTTGACGCGACGCAAATTTACGGGAGAGTCCAAATCAAGGCTGGTATCTGCCGCTGATAAGCACTATAGATAAATTAAAAGTTCCATCCCCTGAAGCGTCATATCGGCGACAAACTCAGCAACAATTCTTTTGGGATCATCCACTGTGAAGCAAATACGTTTATACGAAAAAAGCCCGTATCCCAATCCGCTGATCTATACTACCAAACACGGCGGCTGCCTCCCATCAGACAGTGATTCGAAGAGCCAAGAGAGGCTTTGACGGAAACCTGATAGCCGCCCGGACGAGAGGTCAGCAGAAAGTTCAACAGGTTCCTTCACATCTGGAGCCCGGGTGAGCGAAGTGACCAGTTGTATCAGATCATATACCAAAACAAAGTCGTAAACAGATCTTCCCGCGTGATCGGTACCAGAACTGAGTCATTCAGCGTGGTGGGCGTTGAAACTTGTGCGTTTATCGTATGAAATTCTGTGTTTTATTTTCGCCAACGAAATAGTCGGTTATCGATTGTCTCACGTGGATTGTCTTAGATGGAAAAGGTGCAACGTTTCACGTTTTTGTGACATCAAGTAATTAAATATACAACATTTTCATAAGTTTCACTCAAAAAATTACGCTTATGCGGTGAAGAGCAAGTACGCGGGGCCCCTTTTTGCGTAGGGTCTGTAGAAATGGCCACTCTTGCTACGTGGTTAATCGGGCACTGATAACAGTCCGTTCTTCGAAAGACTCCCACCTGTACGTTTTAAGTCTTCGACAGACGTCTAAGCTAGCTTGTTATAGCAACGGTTTTATACGTACTTCATACATAATTTAAAAAGCCGTGCGAAAAATGCAATGCGTTCTTAGATTACAGTAACCGGGCATAATGTATAGAACAATTTTAAGTGAGGAAATTTAAACCGCACGAGAGAACGAACTTGATAAAATATTAGAGAATAGTCTAGTTTCCTTCCCAATTGTAATTAGTACTTAAGATTTGAGCGTAGGCGTGAGCGTTTGCAGGTTAGCAACAACGGGGAGACAATAAATCGATAATAAAAGATACTCCGTGAAGCATCTTTTATTATTGATTTTATTACCATAACAACAATAGGAGCTTTATTAACGAGACTTAATGAAGTTAATTGCGCACTTCGCATTCGTTGTTACCCATATTAGTACAAAGTTCTTAGGCTCAAAGGTTTTAGGTTGTTTTAGAAGACATTAGAAAAATGCTTCGGGAAATTATTAATACCAATGAAACAAGGGTAATCACATACTATTAAATGAATTTGTCATAAATTAAAAGTTATTGTAAAACTTAAATACTACGTAGTGGTGGTGTAAGAATATCTACTACTTCATATTGGCCGTGGGTGTCATGTGTCGTGGGTAACGGGCGAACGAGGAGATGGGCAGCAGGGTCGCATAAATAACAACAAAAAAAAATTTAAAACGGTGGTGGTGTGGTCATGCGTGGCAACTCCCGTCGAAATCTACGAACTTTTTATAGGGTATAACGGCCTATTTCTGCCGCACCGGCAGTGTTTCGGTCTGACGGGTATAGAGGACCAGAATAATTACAGGCGTTAAATATTACTTTTCATAGGTGATGATGCATATATATTGAGGTCTACTTTGTTTGAACTTGGCTTGGTTCATAGACTGCAGCTGCCACTTACCATTAGGTGAACTGTAAGTTCCTTTGTCACTTAAGTTTAACAAAGTCGGGGTGTGGTTGTGTCGTGACCAAGATTGTGTTTTACGTGGATACGCGTACGTAACGGTAAGATCTCAAAATGGCGGCGCTGCGCCGCGCACGACGCGTCACAGTTCTCACTCAACATAATGAATTCTTTGATCCTTCAGCTATCGAGTGGTGTAACTAAAAGTTGAATGTAGATGATTGTAACTGCAACACAAACACCGTATCCCTTGGTTTTTGCGACTTGCCTTCCACTATGGTAATAAATTTAAGACTTACGTCAAAAAAAGGATTTAGAGATATTTTAAAAGGAAAAATTACAACTGTCACTGGAATAATAATAATTTAGCATATAAAATAACACGTAAGAAAGTAAAATTTCACAACAAATTCACAATATGTTTTTTAAACTCACAAACAAAACACTCGCTTGTGTAACTCATATGTAGACTATATCAATAATATATAAAATCATACTACTGGGTTACAGCGACAATACAGGCGTGAAGGAAAAAAATAATGACTTTTTTCAATTTTTCTTTATGAGTGGAAACGAGGGCCTCTCCTATAATAGGGACGATTTGTTATTATCACCATGTTTGGCAGGCGGATAGATAGGGATATTTTAAGACAGGACAAACACAATGGTAATACCACCATCTATATGACGTCATGAGAGCTTTCTGTTACTAAGCTTTATTTTATATAGCTCAAAAGTATATAAATATAAAATTAGAATTATATTAACTATTACGGCAATGACAAATGCCTAGTAGGGTTGGTGGTCGGTACTGACCTGGTGCTGGGCCATACTGCTCGGCATGGAAGATACAACGGTTACTGTCTGATGATGCTGCTGCGTGGGCTCGTGCTGGGACATGCTTATTTGCTGCTGGACTACTTGTGTTTGACCATCGACGAGCTGCAGCAAACATCACCAATTATAGACATTTTATTTCATATTCAAAGCCAGCGCTTGACTATAACCACATCTCTAGCAGGTTCTTCACCTTTAGAAATAGAAAAGCAAACTGCCTTTGCTTAAAGTAAAAAGTAGTACATATATTATGGTAGTCCATTTTATAGTACATGACTTTAAGGCATTAGCAACTTTACAGTAGTTCAGTTTTACTTAATATTTAATAAATATTACTTATATTTTGCATTTTAATTTTTTTAAGTTTTTTTTGCAAATTTTTAAATTAATTTATAAATAAAATATATATGTATAAAATACTTTTTGTACAGATATAAGTGACATCGAAACCAACATGTCCGATGTAGGGTTACATGTTCTAAAGTTTCCTGTGGGGCAAAAATAGTTTTGAATCACTATTATTGAATAAATTTTTTTATATAAAAATTTTTTATCGAGTTTAATTAACTTTTTTAAACTTTTTTTAATTCCCGACGTTCCCCAATTATTGTTCAAAAGATTTAATTTTTTTGCGATAAGAGGCTGCAGATTGTCTGCCTCTATTGATTTCAATATGTCATTGGTCAAGTTACTATAAGTCCATGTAGCTCGAATTATTAATTCTTTAATATATTAAAATACTGAATGATTTTTTAATAAAATGAGAAGATGTCTGTGCTCAGCAGTAAGAATTTTAATTACTTTGGCTTTTACTTTACTGCGGATACTATTTATCGTTTTATATTTCTCCAAGTAAGGCTTTAAGCACTTACTATAGTACAGACTCTTCTTCAGTAATCTCAAACAAACTTCTCAAATAGAAGTTTCTAAAGTTATGACGCATTATGCATACGACATAAACATGTACATAATGAAAAAGGGTGTGAGTAATATTGTAAAAAATCATGCTCTTATTACTTACCTGTTGAGGTTTAATCTCTCCGCTCATCCCGGTCTTCTGGTTTTTATCGAAAAGCAAGTTGACGTTGTTTTGTGGCGACGGTAGGAAACTAAGGTTGATCTCTCCAATGCCGGGAACGTTGAACTGCTGCGTATGTAACGGCTGGCGACATAAAATAATATTATATTCAATTTTTACGTGAATTTCGTATCAAAACGATACATTGAAATATCTTTGTGCTAGAAATAACTATATTATATTTTAAAATAATTCACATAAATATACGTACATCAAATATGTAGGCATCGTTTTTCATTTTATGTGGTATATGGTTGAAATGAGGTGGTGGACATGGTCAAAGGAAAAATTATGAAAGGAACAACAGAAACCATTACGTTAATTATTATATAATGGTTTCGTTATGTGATTAATAAATGCAATATGATTTAGATTAAAAAATGTATAATATTAAATAATATTAAGCATAAAAAGCACATGAGTACTATAGCTGAAAATTCCACAGGGTATAAATAATAAACGATAAGCAAATAACAATCGATGACTCTTGTGCGATTTTCTCTTCTAAAAATGTTAGTGATGATGGTTAAAGGGATCATATGAATTAAAATAAAATATAGGAAAAGAAATAGAAAACGTAATACATTTATAATGCCCATGATATAAATAATGGAAGAAGTCAGGAGTGGAAGTATAAAAAAAACAACAATAATTAAATTGGGAATTAAGGAACAGCGCACCAACAATACAACGTTATGATAAGGCCCACGCGACGCGACTAGATATCCTAGCAAGTAACGATAGGAAGACGTTGTCACTTGGAGTTTGGCCCACGCTGAGTGGGAACTCAGCTAGGCAACATGGGAGCATTCGAGAAATCAATAATTGAAAGTACTTGCATAAACAAATGCGCATGTTTTGATAAAAAAAAAACATACACGAAAGGCTGAGTCACAAAAACAAAAACTTTTTATTTATAGATTATAAATAATACTTATTGAAAGTCGCTTTTTTAATTTAACGCTGGTTCGGAAAAAACCTCTGTGTTTTGACGAACTAGCAAGTAACGCTGCGGGACTTTTAAAAAAAATAACAGCTTACAATCATTTATGTTACAATTAGTAACACAACAAATTAGAAATACAGTGGATTTGATTTATTACGGCCTTGGTTGTAGCGACCATTTCCCTATAGCGACGTTAAATCTAAATCCCTTGGATTTAAAGCATACTTTAGTACAAAATTCATGGGCTATAGCGAACCTTGGATGTAACGCCGAGTTCGGGTGTAGCGACTGTTTTTAATGAATCATTTGTAACAAGTTCCTAGAAATCCCATACAGATATTGCGACCGGATTCGGCCGCCAAAGACACAAATTCTTATCTTTTGCTTACATCAACACAGATATCAACTAAGTAGTTAGGGAAGCGTGTATGTTTTGGATTCAAATTTATAGTTCAGTTAAAAAGTGATATTCTGAATAGCATTTTGAAATGTACTAGTAAATAACTATGTGTGCAAATATTTTCAATAAAAATGAGTATAAACTATATACATGTATACGTGTCTGTTTTTTTTTTTTTTTTTTTTTTTTTTTTTTTTTTTTGAAGAGGGGCAAACACCACCTGATTTAAGTACTACCCGCCCATCAACCAGGGCTTTACCTTTGCCTGTAACGACTTTCGGATATAACGACGAAAGTAGAGTGGTCCCTTCATCGTCGTTATACCCGAAATCCACTGTAGCTTGGTAGCGATCACCCTTCCCAGGTGTTATTATCATCCATAAATTCCTTAATATTATAATAACCATTTCATACATAATAAGAGTTTAATAAAGTTTTTGAACTTTGTACAGGTCAAATTTTGTATATTTTCTGGGATTATGTTGTAAAAGCGAATACATCGCCCAAGAATGAATTACTGACTCGGTAAAGTCGAGTAATTGGTACTACTAGCTTGTGTCGGTTCCTAGTATTTACAGAATGAATATCACTTTTTTTATTGTGTACGAGCAGCTATGCAAGTCTAGGGAAAGAGACCAGTATCCATGCGACCTAAAAGATCTATTGTGATCACCGCTATGGCTATAGTTCACGGATAAGCCCTATGTCTTAATGAATAGAAAGAGTTGCTTAGCTGTGAGTAATTTCACTGTTTTCTAGGCGTAGTACATAGTTTCCCAGATGAGTGTTACGTTTGCGCATTAAGGGTCCGCAATCAGTTAGGATGTGTAGAGGCGTTTCTTCCGTTATGGAACAGAACCGACACATCCTTGAGTTGCTTAGTCCGAGGATGGACATGTGCTTTTTAAGACAACAGTGTCCAGTTAGGGCTCTTCCCAGAATGCGCAATTTATTTTTGGTTAATCCCAGGGCTTCTGAAGCGAATTTACGATCAAAAGCCCGGATGAAGGTTTTAGAATGTTTTAAGCCTGGTGTGTAACACCAGATCTTAAGTGATTTATTGTGATAAAGAGTTTCAAGGGTCAAACGGGTTAGGCTTCTTGACATTCCACAAAATGGCTTAGGTCCAAATTGGTACTCTCTGAGCCCTCCCGTGCAAGTTTGTATATGACTTATTGATTATCAGTCACTTTTGTAAAACTACTTTTATTATTGTGTACGTACATTACATTTTCATAATTGTGTTGAGAGACCAAAGTTAATATGTTCATTTCTTTAATTTTTTTTCTGACGACTTGAGTTTTTTTGAGTTTTTTTTGCGACTCTTCAGGTTTTAAATTACAGATTATTCTAATGGCCCCTCTTCTGTAAAACAAATATAATATCAATACTCTACGACGGAGCTGGCGATGACCTTTATGTATTAACTTGCCATTTTTCTAAAGAAATGTTTAATTAGGTAATAGAAGTACCGTAAAATAATTTTGACTTCATGATTAAGTGTAAAATAATAGTACTAAATACCATCGACTTAAAACTCTTATATTTACAACAAAAAATATGTAAAAAGTTTTAAATTGAGACATTTATTATTAAACATTGCAAAATACATTTTGCAATGTATAATAATAAATGTTTCAATTATACGCGTAATTCAAATTAAAGTAACATTAGTGGGACTTGTGTTGTTGCTGATTAGATGACAAATAACTTATAATGGGGTTGTAAAATCCTAAATGTGATACAAATGAACTTTTAACTATAATTGTGTCAACGAAATTGACTATTATGCTATGTGTAAACGAACTATGTATTCTTTGAGGGATGCTTGGACTTGTGAAGGGCTGTAATGATGATGATAATAAAACAAACTATGCGTAATTAGTAATTGTAGTCCACGATTTAACTAGGATCACTCGCGTTCGTTCGTAATATAACATTTCATAGTAAACTTTGTGATCGGTGGCGTGCCCAAAATATTGTCTCGCGTGTCATCGATGGCACACGTGCCATTGGTTCGCCATTCCTGCTCTATGACATCGTGCTATGGAAATAGCTAAAACATTCAAGTTGGGCAACTCAGGTGCCATGAAAAGCTATTTATATTATATACTAACAAACACACTGAGGTGGTAGGAAATGAAGAAAACTTAAGAATTAAAACAATAACCTAGGTTCAGAGTGGCCACCACAAGTTTTATGGCAACCATGCCGAGGCCCAGCGTTTATCAAATGGAACAATACATTGTTCAAGGTTGACATGCCTCACAATGACCTCGAGTGTTTTATAGCCAAATAACCAAAGGAGAACATTCTTAAAATTCGCAAAAATCCAAGACTTTTTCTTATTTTTTGATCGTAAGACTAAGTTGGTTGCAGTACAGTTTCAATTTCTGTACCCAGTTTACAGGGTTCCACAATTTCAAAGTTTAGTTTGTCCAAAGGTCAATTAATCATAATATAAAATATTCCACTTGCCATGAGCTAAGTTGTTATGGTCACAATTAAATTTACTTTGCAATATTTTTAGACAAATACGTATTTTCTGATTATTTATTATTATTATTATACATTATAATATTTCGTTTATATAACATATCAATTTTTTACTTAAAAACGTACATTGACGATCCATATAAAACTGTAAAAAACATTAGTAATAAAAGAAAAATACACTTCACGTGTTTTTTTCCAGATTATTAATAAAATGTGAAATTACCCTATTGAATATTGGGCGTCGTTGTTGCATCTTTTCATCAATATAAGTCAAAATCAATAAAGTTTAATATTATACATACATACGTTTTCCAAATTTCTACTGAAATTTTCCTTAGTCGTATCCTAGCAATGAAGTGTCTGACGTCCATTATCTCACTTAGATAGAACAGTATGAAATTTGAAATATATTTTTTTGATAAATGAATGTCTCACATTGCAGTGAATCGTATACTGTGCAAAAACTGCTTGTTTGCCCACCCAACTATTTAACCATGGTAAAGAAAACTTACAAGAAGTCTAAAACATCTAAGTTATTATCAAATTCTTACTAAGTGCTCTAGCCCGAATACATTTATGACATTAAATCGTTATTTTACATTTATCGTTAAACACTCAGTTTTAATATTTGTTTTAATCAGTGGCGTGCTCAGGGTTACCACTTACGCCAAGCTCAACTTTTTTATAAGTATTTTCCGGTTTGCTAAGCCAGATAAGTAACTAAGAAGTTAAGAATTACTCATGATTTTTGGAAAGTGGCTGCAATAAAAGTGATTTTAATATCATAAATCATGATCTATATTGGTGTCCAAATTCATTGTCGTTTAAAAATATAATATTAAAGTGTGAAAATTTGTGTGTTATTTAAATGAAAATAAACAATAGCAAAATTATTTTTCTTTATTCTCATTGCTTTAATTTCCCTTAAAGACAACGTAGCACATTAAGGCAATTTCGAAGGCATTTTATATTTCTTTTCCTAATCTTTAATTGACTGAATATCGAGTAATTACATCACTAACATCATTCACGTCGCAGGATAGGTTACGTAGGGCAAAGTCAACGTTATGTCCATTTAAGTTTTGCTTATAATAGCGTGAATTTATTATTGAGACATCTAGCGTCACATAGTAAATGTTTTGTCAATCCCGGAAGCTTCTTGGATTAAGGCATAATGGTATCTATAAATAAGAATAAATGGTGCTTTTTCAAATAATCGCAGAATTACTGCAACATCTAACGTTAAGAAGCTAAATTTGCAGATTTATTCTAGAAACTTCCTTGATGTAAAGGAAATATGATCTCTGGTTTTAAGAACTTATGGTTCGTACTCAAGCGAATGGTGAATAACATAATGCCTTTCTCTTATTTTTTAAAAGCCAATCACTCGAAAATTATTGAAATGGTGCACATTGCCACTACACATTACGAACGTGTGAGTTTGGCGACAGTGGTTCTGGTACAAAAGATGCATTGTGCTACTTCCTCTTGTTTTTTATATTGCGCCAAAAAAAATGACACAAATTAATAATGTCGTTCCTTTTTATGAGCTCCTGTATCTCCCAACCCGTTTACAAAATAAATTCGCTACGATTAGAAGAATTCAGAACTTTCTTCTCTTTCGAAAAAAAGAAAACGCGTGAGAAACACTAACACATATAAACAACAACCCGATGAGTTTACCTGGATTAATTAATGTCTTTCGTGTCTTGCAAATTTTAAGTACTAAATGCGCAGAGATTATAGCGAACTTACGATTGTTTTTCTAAGATTTAAAAATTGTAATTTTTTTTCGTCGCTTAAAGTATGCTCACTCATTTCCTTTTATTAAAACACGTAAAATTACTTACATTTTCCACTGAAATTAAACGCCATTTTCACTTTTATAATTATAAAACTCTTCATTGTATAAAAAAACGAATAATCTTGATCTGTCTCCACGCTTCAGTTTCATATTCAGTGATGACGAGGACGTGTTTAACAAAGCACACACAGATAGATTGCATGACATATCAGCAATTGCATACCTTCGGTGGCTTTGATAAAGGTCGTTTGGGTTTGCTTGAGCAAGAGAAAAAGATATTTACATGCAATACTATCATGAACAAAGTACAAACCATGTGCAAAATTAAAAAAAAATTATTTATATTCTAAATCGAATAGTCTCTCTTTCTAAAGATAAGATTTGATTAAGTCCGCGTAAAATGTTGGTGAACGTTTTAATTGTACCAATAACAGTTTTTCAATTGCGATAATTGATAAGTCCGAAAGATGCTCCTGACCTTGTGTATTTTCTCAACAAAGTTTCTTCTCGAAATCCCGGTAAAAGCCCACGCGTGCGAGAGAGACGACTAATCGCTTAAATCAACTCCTTGCTTTCATTAATTTTGACAGTCCATTGCGTGTTCGCTTTGAGACAGAGAGAACACGAATCAGTGCATTTCGAAATGAAAGCAAGCTGCCAAGTGTTGACGTTACATAATAAAGCTACGAGGTCATGACCTGTGTAGAACAGAGAAGCACTCGGGAAATTTGAAATAGTTTGAAACAGTTTACGAGTTATTTTATTAGTTGATAATTATTGATTGAGCAGTTTGAAAGGCAAGCCTGGCTTTTCGGCTTCTATGGAGTGGAGAGATATAATCAATCACTTCTTTTCGGACGGGTCTACGAGCCAATATCGTCAAAGGAAATTTTTCTTTTTACTAAATTTATTTACGCAAAAATAAAAGGCATTGTACTTGCTCTTTTTCGGAGAGTGGTCACGGTAAAAGCATTGCAGTTGGTGTCGGCGGTTCAGTCAAAAGACAACTTGATATCCAAGTAACTTACGGTAACGATATTGAAATGCAACAGATGCTTTGAATGTACTTAATAGTGTTATAAAATCAACAAAGTATTTTTACGTTAACCGAAATGACATCGAAAATATACGTAAATTAATTACGTCTAATATAGCAGCTGTTCCTGGTACTATGATTTTGCATCATATCATATCCAAAGAAAATTACTATTAATTACAGGGTACTAAGTTATTTTAGTGGCAGCCTAGCAGGTTTACGTAAATGTTATCGTACTGAAACACATGTTCTAGTACCTAGTATAATGACTAGAAACGATAAATTAAGTGCAACAACTATTACTCAGCCTCCCAAACTATCCAATGTTTATCCAGATTACCGGCTAAAAAATTCTCTGTTTTTTTTTGTCTATGGGTTGACCAAATTCTTTTTCTAATAAAATGAGGCTAAGTAGGTTTTTACCATTTTCAAAAATTTCACTAAATCCTGTCAAATTAATTAAGTATGTCATTAAATCCAAATTTAGACAGCAAATATCTAAATCCGTTGAAATTTAATCAGCAGTCACTAAGTACATGTATCTTTAATCTATTGTATTGTGGTCACCTAAACGGTCGTTTTTTTTTCACTGTTTTAAAATTCAATCACGAATTTTAACATGTTAATTTTAAAATTGTTTTAAAGTTTAAAATTTATGAATCCTGTAAAAAAAGGTTATTAACGACTGCAAAATGCTCGACGATAAACTAAAACGGTAAGTAAGCTAAGATTTTAAACACTTTTTACACTTTTATTTAAGTCATGAACGGGTTTAATTACCTTGTTTTGTTTTAATTTAATTTCGCCAAGAATTAAAACAAAACATTAAACCCGTTCATTTTATAATAGGGAAAATAAGTACTTTGGAATACATGTCTTGTCCTTTATATTTACGCTTTGCTTTGATTACCAGAAGAATTTACTACCTGTTACTAAAGTCTCTATAGAATATTATTTACGTCAACTATGGTTACACAAGTATTCACGATCTTTATACCGACACGGCTTCGATGTATTTATGTACCGAAAACTACGGACAAAAAGGGCCGAATGAAGAACAACTTTGGCAGACTACATCGAGCACAACAAACTCTCAGAGCATACTCACTTGGAGTTGTTTTGCGATAATTGGTTTAGCCAAAATAAGATTCGTTATCTGATCACTTTCCCTGGATCAATTATGTGCCAATAATATCTTTCAAAAAACGACAGTTTCTTATCCAAATCCTAGACATAGCATGATGTCAATAGATCGAGTTTTTGTGCTCACAGAGAGAAAGCGCATTAAAACCATTGACTTATATATTACTAGCGTAAGGACCGGGCTGACCGAACAACTAAAACGGACCAGTGCGCTGGCCCTAAAATTACAGTTTAGGGCCAACGCGAATCGGTCGACAGTGGTGCGCGCGCAGGACAGATTTGCCTGTCATAAATATGTCTAGTTGCGTGGTAAAAGAATGCAAAAATTACGAAACAAAGATTTAAAAAAAAAACATGGGATATCGTATCATCGGTAAATAACCTTATATTAATTTTGTTACAATTAAATTATTATATAAACGCAATTTTAAAAATTTATTTTACAATTAGTTTAGTTACGTTACCAAGATTAAGCCAGGGCTCGATTCAGACCCTTAAAAATATTGTACATGGAAATTACAATTATACTATATTTAAAAAAAATATCACGTTTGACGTTTCATGTTTCTTTTTTCCCATATGCCGGGGTTTTGGCGTCACGCGTCTAGTTTATTTATACGTTTCGTTTTTCGACGGTTTTATTTTTATTTCTGTTTAATTTTTGTCTAAAGAACTTAGTGTAAGTTAAATTTTGAATATTGGTACCTAATATATTTTATATTCAATTAGGGTAACACGAAAATAGTACAAAAGAAACCATATCTGCTTAATTGAATCTAAAAATCTGATTCGTAAAATATTTTGAAATTCTGTTTTCAAACCGATTGCTTCTGGATCACAGAGTTTTTATCTTGGTAGACCCCCATTAAAGTTGTATCAAGGATGCAACATAAATGCATTGATCGAGCATCGATTGACCAGAAAGGGAGCTAATTCTTATTTTATTTTAAAAAACGCGGTACTCATGTACAATACAAAAATTTTCGATATCGTAGAGTTAACATTAAAATTTAAAAGGACCCAATAATAATACAAGTCGACCTTTAGGTTATGATATTTTCGCTTTTTATTATTACGATACTATATACTATGAAATAATGATACAATTAGGATAATTATACTACGAAATCCGACCCTGGTTACATCGTGTTTTGTATTACGTTTGTATTATGACAGATGCGCTACTTTTTCTTGTATGAAAAAGTTATGAGTAAAATATTTAGTTAGGCCAATCCTTCTTTTTGAAATCATTGATTAAAACGGAAAAGGT